GAGCGATGGGTGGGGGAACTTTCAAGCATTGGGATACACATTTACCAAAGGCCACCTGGTTGGTCAACACCAGAGGATCTGCCAACAGGGCTGGCCCAGCCCAGTCAGAACTTTTACATATTGTAGAGGGGGACAAAGTTCCCGTGGTGCATATGAAGAATTTGCTGGGGAAGACAGTCTGGGTTATTCCTGCTTCAGGTAAAGGCAAACCCACTCGTGGGATTGCTTTTGCTCAGGGACCTGGATATACTTGGTGGGTAATGCTGGAAGATGGGGAAGTCCGATGTATACCTCAAGGGGATTTGATTTTAGGGGAAAACAGCCAGTGAACTCAATTGTATGCCGTTGCCTGCTGTGTAATGCTTTTATAGCCCATCAACTAGATGTCTCCAGGTCACCAGCGACTGGCCCTGACTTCCCTCCAGCCATCATCCCAACAGAGAATGAACTTGGAACATCATGGACCGAATGGACTCGGCAGCATTATAGGGATTGGTCCATGCACTAAGAAAATGATTTTTTCGTCTTGGTCTGTATGTATATGGATGTATATATGTGGGAGAGCGATGGTGTATTGAAAATGTGGGATCTGAGCACAACGTGAATGGTATGGAATAAGGGGTGGATAATGTCCTGGGTTCAGCAGTAGCAGTCATGTTTTTTCCTTTGTGTTAACTGGTGCAGTGCTGTGTTTTGACTTCTAGTTTGAGAACAGTGTTGGTGAAGCCGATGTTTTCGGTTGTTGCTAAGTGATGTTTACCCTGACCAAGGACTCTGTGAGGCTCATGCTCTGCCAGGGAGGAGGGGAAGCTGTGAGGAAGCAGAGACGGGGCGCCTGACCCGGGCTAGCCAGGGAGGTATTCCATACCACAGCACGTCATGCCCGGGGTGGGGGGTAACTGGGAGTTACCCGGAAGGACAGGGGCTTCCGGGTGGAACTCGCTTTCTTGGCCGGTGGTATCGTATTCTCTTCCCTTGTTATTTTCCCTTATCATTGTTTTAGCTGATAGTAGCGGTGGTGATTTGTTGCTGGACTGTTCTTGTCTCAACCCGTAGGAGTTGCACTCTCTCGATCCTCCTCCCCGTTCCTCTGGGAGCGGGGAAGGGGAGAGCCCCGGTGTGGGGGGGGGGGTGGGGGGGGAGACGGACACGGACTTCGATTGTTGTCAGCTCGGCACCACTCACTGGAAGTGAGCGAACGAGTTACCTGACTGGGTTTAAACCACGACACCCAGCCTCACTGCTGGCCACAAAGACCTGAGCACTGGAGGCCCTGTGGGCTTTCCAGGAGCACCTGCAGGTGCCTAAGGGCAGGTTTTGACCCCAACCTTTACTGCCCTTGTGCTCTGTCCAGGGAACTCCAGGTCCTCTTTCCTGGGTAGAGGTGCCATTTCCCTGTCCCTGCTGCTTTGAAGGCCTCCAAGGAAGCTGTCGTTGAAGCCGCCAAGTTCCTGAGGTGGCAGCAGCTCCGGAAGCTGCTGCAGACAGAGCAGATATGGAGGGCTGGCAAGTGCATGGTAAGGATGTCCCCAAAGCCCCGCAAGCCAGCCTGGAGAAGCCTCTCTCCCCCAGTCCCCAGTGCATGGGGCTAGCAGCTTTCCCCCTGCCCTCCATGGCAGCCCTGTGCTGCCTGCCTGCAGCGCACAAGGGTCCCATTTCCCGCCGCCCAGACTCCAGGGGTGCCCCACTGGCCTTTGGTGGCAGGGTGGCACTGCAGCACCCTGGCCAGGCAGCACGCTGCCCTCTGCTCCCTCCAAACCCTGGCACCAGCTAGCTGCTGGCTGGGCATTGCGGGTGTCCTGGCAGGAGAGGCCAGTCCTGGGTGTGGGGGAGGAGGGTCTGTGTCAACTCCGTCCCTGTGTGCTCGCTCTAGCTGAAGAAAAGCAGAACCAGATTGGAGCAGTACCTGCACCAGAGCCTGCTGTACCTGCAGAGCCCGCAGGAGCCCTTGCGCGAGGTGGCTGTCAGGTTCATCGGTGAGCCACAACCTGTCCGGGGGTCCCTCACTGTACCTCAGCAGCTTAGCCCCAGCCATGGCTACTGCCAAATCCACCGGGGAGCTGCAGAGCCCCAACTGCCCGATGTGATTGATGTGGGGCTGGGTCCCTCAAGGCCACTTCACGCTCCAGGAGCTACCCTGGGCTCAGCCTTGCCCAGTGGGTCAGTGGGGGTGAACTGGGCTGCTGGGATGGTCAGGTCAGCGGGATGTGTGACGGGCTGTGTGTGCCTAGGGCTCGCTGGGCAGCAGCTGACGGATGGGTGCGAGGAGGAGATCCTGGTCATTAATGAGGGTGAGTGAGGGCAGTGGGGTGCCTGTGGGTAGGAGGAAAGGGCCTGGGTAGGGAGCTATAATCCCTGTCCTGGCCTAGGAGGGCTCAGCTCCCTCTGTGGGTGACGGATGGCGTGGGCAGAGTAGAGAGATTTGAGGAGCATGTGGGACATTGGTGGGCAACACCTTCCATCTAATCCCGGTACCCCGCCTCCCTCCTGGCTGTGGGAATTGCTGTGGGGCGGGAGTGGCCCTGGCTGGAGGGACTCTGGAGATCCCCTGCAGATCTGCGATGTGACCGTGGCTCTGTTCCTTTCCATCCCAGCCCTTCAAAACATGGAGAGTGACAGCAGCCCCCTGGTCTCTTCCCTGGCGCTTGAAATGAAGCAGCTGCTGTATGATGCATGGGAAGAGCCTTCTGCCAGTTCCTTCCTGCCGGCACTGTGGTGCTGCCTCCGGAGGGCAGAGAGGAGGAGGATCCCTAACCAGCTGGTCTGATCCAGGGCACTGGACTGAGCGAGCTTCCTATGAAATTCTTCCTCCAAGTGCAAGGAAACAGCAATAGATAGTTTTCTGTTGACATTTTTAATTATGTCAACATAATTTTTGAAAGAAAATTTTTATTAAATTTTCTATTGAAATCTCTTTTCTATCCAATTAAGATATATTGCTTTTTTGTTATACTGTGCACCTGCAATCGGTAGCCACAGTTCATAGTTATTGTATCTTGGGCCTGGGACAAAGCGCCCCTCTTAAAAAGAAACAACCAATCTTTGTTGTGTTCGAAGGATCCAAGGAGAATGTCCAGGATTGGTGGCACCAAAGGCTGAGTTATTTGACAGCTTGGCCAGGTCACCAGATCCTTTCCAACCCTAACTATTCGATGATTCTGTGATTCTATGATTTACTAAATAACGACTGAAAAAACATGCAGGAAATTAATCAACAGTTTTCCTAACTGGCATCTGTGCTCATCAGGACACTCCTGTTCATCAGGAGCTGTTAACTGTCAGATGCTGAATAGAAGATGACACCTCATCTAGAAGAGGCACCTCCAGGCCAGTAAAATACATTTTGGCTTGCCCAAAAGGAGTGGCCCCATTCTCTCTTCCCAAAACGTAGGTTTTCCTGTTCTGCCACTGGGGAGAAAATGGAACCTTATCCCCAGAAATGTAAATCTTTCTTTTTATTTGGGAAAGACTTAGTCTGTCTGGGAAGATTGCAAAGCAGAGACAATTTACAGAAATAATATGTTCCACCAGCGTCTGCATGCAGGCGCGGAGCCATCTCGGGCGTGGCCTCAGGCCCGGCGGCCATTTTGTGTGTGGTGGCAAGCCCCGGGGCCATCTTGTGCGTGGCGGCGCCCGGCAGCGCGGCTCCTACTCCATTCCCTGGCGGCGTTTGGATTTCCTTGCCCTAGAGGGGCTACTGCTAAGCGTGTGAGTGGAGCCCAGAACAGCTCTTTATCTGATGTCTTCTGAAAAAGCATTTTTTTCTGCTCGATACTATGTGCCTCAGCTAGGCTGGGCGTGGTTATGCCTGAGGAAGGAGCTTCCTCTCAAAGAGTGGGAGAACAACGTGCTCCAGTTGGGAGTGAAGCAGAGACATAGATCTGACTTGGAATGTTGCTTTGGCTGTTTTGTTTTCTCCTTTATTCCAGCTTATAGCTGGAAAGTTTTTGTTTGGGTTTTTTTTTTTTTTTTTGTGGCCCCACTCTGTTGTGCACAGTGTTCTCTTTTCATGACCAAAGGCAAAAGGGATGCCAGTACTTGAAAACAACTAGTGTGTAGACACAAGGTGTAGGGGGAAGACACAAGGTGTAGGGGGTGATGCATGCTACTGGACCTGTCGTGTGGCTCTGCTGTAGTTGCAGAGTTGAAGCATTGGTTTAGGGTGTGGAAGGGCTGAGTCCATTTCCCCTTCAAGGGGTTCAACAGTTGCATTTTTAGAGACCCTGGCATCTCTGAGAAAAGCCAGTTCTTAGTGCCCAAGCATTTTCCTTGACAGCTTGTGAAAACTGCCTCCAACGCCTTGTACGTACCTTTTTGTAGGAGTTGGCCTACTCACAGGATCATGTGGTATACTGGGTGGGAATTGACTTCTAGAGGCTTCTGCTTGAACCTCGTGCTCAAAGCAGCATCAGACCAAGCTTCTTGGGGCTTTGTCCAGTCACATCTTCCTGGCATGAGACAGCGCCGTCTCTCTGGGCAACCTGTTCATCTCTTTGCTGTCCTTATGAGGAGAAAGGCTTTTCCTTATTTCCAGTCTGAATGTCTCCCAATGCCTCTTGTCTGTCATTATCCCACCATGCACTGCTGTGAAGAAACTAGCTCTGTCTTCAAGTGCTCCTGTAGGTAGTAGAAGGCTGCTGTGAGGTCTGCACTGGAGCTTTCTCCTCTACAGGCTGAATGAATGTCTTTCCCTCAGCCTCCTCTGAGGACTTGGATGATCCTAAGTTCCTTTCCAACCTTCACCATCCAGTGAAATTCTAGCTGTTAATGAAAAGAAGAAATAAGGTGGAAGAAAATGTGGTTTCTTGGTTACTTGGGTTCAGAGCCACACCCAGGCAAGGCAACAATGCTGCTTGGCCCTGCAGCACATAGGTCACAATGCGGGCCAAGATACATTCCCTCCTGGCCTGGGTAGTGGGTAACAGTGGGGCCCTCATGGCAAGTAGCGTGCCCAGCCCCACAGTATCCAGGATTCTGAGGAGAGAAGAGCCAAGCAGCTCGTGCAGGAGCCCCTGCTGGGGCAGCTGATGGTGACCATCAGCAGTCAGAAAGACCCAGGCAATGCCCACGGAGGAATCTCACAGTGTCACCATCCATTACATGAGTAGGTATCAACGGAACCCCAGGGGACGACCTTGGGGCACAGAACGGGGCAGGGAGAAGCAGCTGCATGGGCAGGAGGCAGCGGTGCTGCAGGGCTGGCACCTTTCTCGCCCTGCTCCTGGCAGCGTCCTGAAGGAGATGAGAAGGGCATCAGCACCCTGGCCCAGGGTGTGCTGTGGGCACAGCAGCCGGTGCAGGGCTGGAGAGAGGACCCCTCTCTTCCCTCTGCCTCCTACCCCGGCCTGCAGCTCTCCCCGTTCTTGCTCTTCATCAGGTGTAGCTGCTTCCGACTCTAGCATCCAGTTGCAGAATGAGGAAAAGGAAGCCCACGGCTACATCATGGACTTTGTCAAAAGCACCAGAAGGGTAATGGCAGAATTTGTCAGCAAAGCTCTGCCAGCAGCTCCCAGTTGGGTGCTGCCACGTATGCTGTCCACACACAGGCTCCTGGAGGGCTGCTGGCAGTGCAGAGCTGTTCCCCTCCTGCCCCCCCCCCCGCACCATTGCTGCAGCCCCTCAAGCCTCCACTCCTGCTGGCTGTGCCTGTGCTCCCCGCCCCCCCTCCCCTTCTTCTCTGTCTCTCTTCTCCTGGACTGACAGGATCGGGAGTCGAAGATGAAGTTTCTGGCCTCCATCGACATGCTCTGCAGAGCCTCACTGCGGGGAAGGTACCAAAGCCCAACATCCCATGAGCTGCTGAATAAACTGGAGGTGAGGGCCCCCCCCAGTGGGGCTAAGGGAAGTGAGCACAGATGGCCAAGCACCGGACTGGTGATGAGGACAGCACTCAGGCGTCTGGGCACAGCGGGAGGGTAGGACAGGCCTTGTGGGAACAGCCCTTTCCGCCACTGGGGCCTCTGCAGAGCAAGGGGCTGCTGTGGGTGCTGGAGCTGACCTGCGGACTCTGCCCTGCCCACTCTGCTGACTGGCAGACTGGTGGCAGGCACCGGCAGCTGCTGTGGCCCATCCCAGCCATGCTTTTCCTCTCCAGGCACTAATGCAAAACGAGGCCTTTGACAACATGGACACCATGATGTGGCAGCAAGCCCTGCTTGCCGTCGCTGCACTGAGGTACCTGTCCCAGCGCCTGGCCAGGCCAGAGCCTCCCATGGGCCTGGTAGCACCAGGCATTTCCTGTCCTGGTGGCGTGGTCTTTGGGCCTCTGCTCTCTCACCTCTCAGCCCGTCAGTGGCTCAGGCAGGATGGCAGTGGGTGCTCCAGGGCTCCCCGACGCTTCTTGGCTTTTCCTCTGAAGGAAGAGGCAGGAGATGGAAAGGGCTTCAGGGTCCACTGGCCAGGGCTGCCCTCTGTCCCTGACTCAGCAGAATGGGGGAGGGAGGTGATGCCTTGCCTACCTTGTGCAGGTTCAACCCTGGGGACTGCTAGTCATAGTGTTTGTGGGCACCTTCCCCAGTGTAGAAGCCTTTGCATCCAGCTGGCACCTTCTCTCCTTACAGCGAATACAGGGAAGACCTGCTGGACAACCGCCTCTACAAACACATAGGTGGCACCTTCAGTTTTGTTGCAAGTGAGACGATTAGCCAGCGTACTCCATTCTATGATCAGGTAAATGTGGGCTGAGCTGCAGAGAGCCTGACAGCCTGTCCTTCACGGTCTCCTCACTGACTTTGGCTGCTGGAAGCCGACAGGAGAAGGAAGGCCAGGGAGACCCTGAGGCCTCCCCCCTGGGCACCAGAGGGCAGCTGAGGCCCACCTCAGGTGGAAGGCAGGCAAGCAAGCTTTCTGCAAGGAAGAAGGGCCAGGGCAAGGTCAAGCACGTAACCTGCTGCATCTGTGTGTATCTGTGTTTGTCTGTGTCTCTCCTTACAGATCCTGAAAACTCTGGACAGTGTGCTGGAGGTGCTGATACGTGGTGCTTCACAGAGATCCTGCATCTTCATAACAGGGAAAATATTGCAGGTCAGGCATTTACCAAGAGCAGAGCTCATGGGGTGTCTTCCTTGCCTTACCCTAAAGTGATGAGACCTTCTAAAGCATGCGCACCCCAGCCCCCAGGCCGAGGGGTGAAAGGAGTTTCTGGCACTGCTGAGCCACTGCCCTCACTTGTCTGCCCCGTTCACTTTCTCCTCCCCATTTGCCAGCAGGGTGGGGATGCCCTAGGATACGGCCGTGGTACAAGGTGCATAGTGCAGTGGGAGTCCAGCCCTGAAGGTCTTCTCTTCTGGCCTCCTCATGGGCCTGGCGTCCCTTGTGCAGCCCCTGCCAGAGGTTCTGGTCCTCTTGGAGCGGGAGCCTTTTTGGAGCTGCATGTGGAAGGGGGCAGAGGTGCCTTGGGGATGGGATCGGGCAACTTCCTTGACTGCAGCAGGTCACCAACAGCCGGCAGTGGTCCCCAGATCACAGCATGGATGGACCCCATTCCAGGTCTTACTCTGGACCATGGGAAGCCTTGGCAGTACATCGCATAAACAGCACGAGATGCTTGGCAGAACCACTGCTCTGGGAGTCACTGTTGTTTCCCACAGCAGACCTGCAGCTTCTCCCTTCTCAGGCTCTGCTGCCCATCACGGCATCCGAGGACATGGCTAAGCGCCGGAAGGCTGTAGAGTGGATTGTACGCCTCAGCTACTTTTTATCACCCTCTTCAATGCTGGAGGTAAGGAGCCTGTGATGAAGGTGACTTGCCCCTTGCTGGTGCCACAGAGTAGCCGAACACTCCGGGCCCCCTGCAAGGGAAGCCTGGGCGCAGGGCAGTAGGGGATTCAGCAAGACTCAACCTTGCACCAGCATCTTTGGTCCTCTCTCTGGGAGCTGCACTCTGTCTTGTGCCTTCTCTCTCAGGAGCCAGTGCTGTCCCTGGGCGTGAGAGCATTTGGCAGATGCAGCTCTGGCAGCCCTCCCTCCCCTGGAGATGGGGAGTCCTGCAGGTGGTGAAGGAGGGCTCTGTCAGCTGACTGTGGGTCTGGAGGAGCAGCAGATCCAGGGTGTCAGTCTTCTTTCAGACACCTACCCCAGTCCCAGGGGCTCACAGGGCGAGAAGGCAGAACCCTTCCTGAGTTCCCTTTGCAGGGAGACAGCACAGTCCTTGCCCTGGCTTGACCGCCATGAATTGGGTCTCCACGCGGTGCAGCACATGGCAGAGCTCTCCAGAGCTGCTGCTCACGTGGCACTCGGCCTGGGGGCTGCTCTTAGAGGTTAAGGCTTTCAGCCCATCTGCCACAGCTTGGCCCTGCTACTGCAGCTTCTTCTCTCCCACAGCATTTGAATGCAAGACACGGCATGCAGTGCTTCTCCAGAAGCAAGCCTCTGGAATTCCTAGGGCAGGCAATGGGGTACCTTGCCCTGTCCTGTGCTGAGGAGGACCAGGAGATCAGCTGCGGGGCTTTCCAGGCACTGTGTAACTTCAGGAGGTTCCTTCTGGTGCGACAGAGTAAGAGACACTGAGGCAGGCTGGAGCTTTCCAGCTGCAAGGGCCCAGGCAAGGTGCCGCACTGCCCTAGCCCCCTCCTCTGCTAGAGGAAGGAGCAGCAAATGCCTCTGAGGCTGGAGCAGGGCAGCAGCTGTGCAAACCGTAGGGCACACACAGCCTGCTGCGGAGCAGCAGCTTGGGGCCTGTCCCGAGAACCCTTGAGCCGGAGAGCCGGTGGCTGCAGCATGCCTAGGCTTCTGTTCTCCCCCTGAGCAGAAAGCCAGACTTAACTCTCCTGCCCTTCCACAGCCTAAGAGGCAGTTTCCTCTCCTCCCCTGGTAAACGGGCCTGCTACCGCCCTGGCACGTCTCCAGCTCCCATGGAACGGAGAGCCAAGCACAGCTCTCCTTGATAGCCTCACCTGCTGCCTCCAGCTCTCTGTTGTTCCTGCCATTGTTCACTCTCTGTTTTCCCTCCTGCCCAGGCTACTGTGCAAAATGTGAGGATGCAGAGATCCCTCTGGAGCGGGAAGGCCCTAACACCTTGTGGCCTATGGAGCTCAATGATGAAATGGTGGTAATAACCTCCTCCTCTCTTGCTGGGGGTCTTGGCTGTGGGGCTGGCAGGACACCCCCATGAACCAGTGCCTCGGCTATTGTGGTGGATGGCATGGCCTCCCGTGCTCCACAAGGGAGTAGGCAGAGGCTTTAACCCCATGTCAGCAGAGCAGCTCTGGACGTCCTGGCCACTGGCAAGCTCTGGTTCCTGGCAGAGCCAGCACACTGTAGCTCTTGCCCGTGGCTCAGCCCACCCCTCTCCTTCAGCCCACAGGGCAGCTCCCTCTACACGCTCTGAAGGTCCGACTGGATAAAACCTAGTGTCAGAAATACTTTTTTAGTAATTCCCAGAGTGAAATTAAGATGCAAATGAGGTCAAGTGCCACAGTTGGTCAGTTTTTTTATTATAAAAATATAATTATTTTAAAAAGATTATTATAAAATATATAGTGATAGGACAGTTCGGAAAAGAGGGCAGAAATTAAGCAAGCATTCAGAGTGCAGAGAGATAGTCACCACCGTGGATCCAGTGGCGTCCCAAGGGCGCATAGTCATCTTCCTTGTTGGGTGGCCACCCTGCAAATACGTTTGTCCCCTTTCATTATGCGCTGGGGGGAAGTACCTCTGTTCGTAATGTCACGTACTGCACATTCCTGGTTGATCACATGCATCCAGTTTCGCTGGTCTTGCAGCCAGCTCTCTGCACATGTCTGTCAGCAGTCCTTGAGACAATGGGCAGCAGTCTTTGAGACAGTGGACCTCAGTTCCTCACACCAGTCTTTCACACCAGTCTTTGAGGCAATGAACGGTGGAGCCTGATTTCAGTTCAGCCTCTCACACATGCTCCTGTGGCTGCAGTCACCCCAGAGCAGCCCCCAGTGCTGGCACTTGTCCTGGAGGTGGGCCAGCACTGCCCCGGCTATGTCAGCCCAGAGCCAACCTGGCTGCTTAGCTCTGCTCTGCCACCAGGGCCCTCAGGGTGAAACTCTTCCCTCTCCTTCTCCCTTAGGCAACTGGGAGGTTCTTACTCCCACATGAGAGGTACAACTTAGTCCTCACAGTCTTGAGGAACATGGCACAAGAAAGAGTCTCTAACATCCAGGTGATTGCCAACACGCTGAAGGTAGTCTTGGCGCACTCGTGCTTGAAGCTGACCAAGGTAAGCAGTGTGCAGCTGGACTGCCCCGTGCGTGTGCCCTCAGGGCACATGTCTGGTGACCTTTGAGGCTGGCAAGGTGTGACAGGAGAGGAGCAGTTCTTGGTGGCAGCAGGGGCCGTGGCTGCACTCCACCCAGCTCCACACTCCTGCCTCCGCCAGGTGGACGACCTCGTGCAGATCATCTATAGGCAGCTGATGCTTGTCACCAGAAGGTCGCTGCGGGACATCCTGATGCAGACCCTTCTCCAAATGGCGCAGCTGCACTCTTGGGATGTGACCACTAGCCTGCTGCATATTTCCATCACTGGTGACATAGATGTGGCCCTTCAGCTTCAGGGGAATCCTAGGGCCTCTGAGAACTGCCCAGACAAAACTTGTTATGGCCAGGATGGCCCCACTGACTCTGAGCTCTGGCATCACGCCACTGCCGAGGCCATGTGGAACATGCTGGTATGTGAGCCCAGCATTTCGGGCGGAATACTGAAGTCGCTGCTGCTGATCCAGCACACAAGCATGTCGCAGAACAACTTCGGCACAAAATGCAACTGCCACTTACTGCTGACTGTGAGTGTCCAGATGAGGCCTGGTCCGCCCTGCCTGGAGCTGCGCACCCCCCTCCAGCTCCTCCTCCCCTCTCCATCTGCTCCCAAACCTGCACCTCCAAAAGGTCACTGGGGGCTTCGAGGCTACAGCCAGGCAAGGCAGCACATGCTGCTCGGCCCTGCAGCAGACTGACAGGCAGCCTGCCCCTGCTGCCCTTGGGGGTCGTCCTCCTTCCCCACCTCCTGCCATTTGGGCAGCCAGGAAGCCTGAGGGGCAGAGCAGGCTGTGGGGCTGGAGAAAGTGAGTGCAGCGTAGCCAGCATGGCCCATGGGGCTGGCTGAGCTCTTCCCTCAGGACCATCAAAGCTTATGTGCCCATGCTACAAACGGGCACCAAGCCCTGAATGCCGCCACAGGTGAGCTCCAGGCCATGCAGCTGGCTGGACTCTGTCCTGGCATCTCCCTCAGCTCCGCGCAGCTCCTGAACCCCCCAGCCCCAGGCACGCTGCAGGGACATCTCTGCAGCGAGAGTGTCCCTGGGTGTTTTCTGCAGGTAGCTAGTGTCATGCGCATGGTCTTCCTGGTGCCCTCCAACCAAAGCAACGTAAGGAAACTTTTAGAGGAGCTCTTCATGGCAATGGTCTTGCAGATCTCCTTCACCATGAAGAGCCCACAGGAGGGCTGCTGCTGCTTTGAGATTTGGAAAAAGGAGGCTGAGGATCGTGTAGTCAACCGTCGCAGGTACTCTGTTCCTGCTCCCTGGAGTCTGCCCTGGGCCAGAGCCAGGGCCAGGCTTCCGCATGTGACCATGCTTTGCTCTGCGTGCAGGTGCATGGTGAGGACCATGCAAGCTTTCTTCCATTTTCTGGGTGGTGACTCCCTGGTTGAAGACATCAAAGGGCAGGGTGCCTGGGACATGCTCGTGAGCCCCTGCGACTACCCCGCTGGAATCAGGGTGCTGAGTAGGTAAGAGCTTTGTCAGTCATCCTTGCGTCTGCCTGTGTTTCCCCCCGGGGAGAAAGGGTCCCCTGCATGATCCTCTTTAGCACAGGTGGTGGGGCGCAAGCAGCCAGCACAAGGTGCAGATGGAGGCTTGGCCTGTGTGGCCTGGCCTACAGGGTAATGGCTGGGGCTGGCGCCACGGTCCCAGAGAGCTTTGTCTGTCTCGGTGCTGCCAATGCCTTCTTCCCCCTGCTAGAGTGATGAAGCATAAAGAACAGGTCAGCTGTGCCTCCATATGCGAAGACGCGGTTGGAATCATACAATCGTATGAGGACATCTGTGCCATTATTGTCTTCATTGAGGTGGGCCTGGTGGCAAGTATTTCTTCTCCAAGAGCAGGCAGGGGGAAGCTGGGCCGCATGCATGAGGCAGAGCGGAGGTGGCAAGGGTGCCACTGCCTCCCGTCGGAGCTGTGCCCAGCTCTGCTACCTTGCCCTGAGCCTTCCAGGAGCTCTGCTGCTGTGCTGGGCTCTCATTCTGCTCCGGGTGTGTTTCAGCTCCTGGACTGCACAAGGTTTAAGACTGACGATAGCCCCGTCCTGCATGTCCTCCACACGCACCTGCGTAGCAGGAGTTCGGTGCCGCACAAGGTAGCGGTCACAAGCCTCGCCACGCTGTCTGAGAATCCTGAGCAGGTGAGCATGGGCAGCCAGGCTCAGCGAGAGCATCTGCCCGGGCCTGGGTAGCAGGCGGTGGTGTGCGCAGCAGCGTGCTTGGGCTGTGCCAGGAATCGGGAGTGGTGTGCCCACTGCCTTCCCTGCCCTGTTCAGCAGCTCCTCAGCCACTGAACGCGTAAGGCAGGGCATTGGGCTGTGCTGCGCATGGAGAGATCTCTCTCTGCCCCTCTGCAAGCGGAGTGGTTTTGCTGGTGCTGTCCTCCTCGACTGTGTCACCAAAAAGCGTTTTTCACATAGGCAAAGGCTATGTCTCTGCAAGGCCTGCTGCCAGCCGTTATGCAGCAACTGCAGGATGATGACTGCGACGTCACGAAGGCAGCCCTGACTGTCCTCAGCAACGTGCTCTGCGCTGTAGACAGGCAGACGGCTGGCCCCATTGCTCTGCAGCTGCCCAAAATGCTCCTGCCACTCTTTGAAAATGTAAGGCAGCGAGAGAGCCCCTTGGGTGGCATGTGTGAGTGGCTCAGGGATGGTGCACCCCTCTCCATGTGTGCTCACTGGCCTGTGAGTGGTGGTTCTTCTCACTTCAGTGGCTTGGGGGAGCGAAGGCTGAGGTCCTCTCCTCTTACTTCTCTCGTCCTAGGCGAGCAGCTGCGTGCGAAGGCGGTCCATCCTCCTCAGCAGAGATGTGATGAGGGTTCCATTCAGGTCTCACAAAAAGCAGATGAGGAAGGATGTGCAGAGATGCCTCCTGCCCTTGTTCTTCCACCTGCATGACTGTGACTCAGGTGTGGCTCAGGTGGGCATTTCTCAGCTCTTTGAATGTGTTTCAGCTGGAGCCCTGTTGAGGGCTCGGATCCCCTTCCTGCCTGCAGCCGCAGAGCTGGCAGCCCCTGTGAAGGTGGATAGGGACATACCCTATACCTGCTCTGCCACATCCAGCATGGCCCAGCCGCACTGCTGGCCACAAAGACCTGAGCACTGGAGGCCCTGTGGGCTTTCCAGCAGCACCTGCAGGTGCCTAAGGGCAGGTTTTGACCCCAACCTTTACTGCCCTTGTGCTCTGCCCAGGGACCTCCAGGTCCTCTTTCCTGGGTAGAGGTGCCATCTCCCTGTCCCTGCTGCTTTGAAGGCCTCCAAGGAAGCTGTCGTTGAAGCCGCCAAGTTCCTGAGGTGGCAGCAGCTCCGGAAGCTGCTGCAGACAGAGCAGATATGGAGGGCTGGCAAGTGCATGGTAAGGATGTCCCCAAAGCCCCGCAAGCCAGCCTGGAGAAGCCTCTCTCCCCCAGTCCCCAGTGCATGGGGCTAGCAGCTTTCCCCCTGCCCTCCATGGCAGCCCTGTGCTGCCTGCCTGCAGCGCACAAGGGTCCCATTTCCCGCCGCCCAGACTCCAGGGGTGCCCCACTGGCCTTTGGTGGCAGGGTGGCACTGCAGCACCCTGGCCAGGCAGCACGCTGCCCTCTGCTCCCTCCAAACCCTGGCACCAGCTAGCTGCTGGCTGGGCATTGCGGGTGTCCTGGCAGGAGAGGCCAGTCCTGGGTGTGGGGGAGGAGGGTCTGTGTCAACTCCGTCCCTGTGTGCTCGCTCTAGCTGAAGAAAAGCAGAACCAGATTGGAGCAGTACCTGCACCAGAGCCTGCTGCACCTGCAGAGCCCGCAGGAGCCCTTGCGCGAGGTGGCTGTCAGGTTCATCGGTGAGCCACAACCTGTCCAGGGGTCCCTCACTGTACCTCAGCAGCTTAGCCCCAGCCATGGCTACTGCCAAATCCACCGGGGAGCTGCAGAGCCCCAACTGCCCGATGTGATTGATGTGGGGCTGGGTCCCTCAAGGCCACTTCACGCTCCAGGAGCTACCCTGGGCTCAGCCTTGCCCAGGGGGTCAGTGGGGGTGAACTGGGCTGCTGGGATGGTCATGTCAGCAGTAGCAGTCATGGTTCAGCAGTAGCAGTCATGTTTTTTCCTTTGTGTTAACTGGTGCAGTGCTGTGTTTTGACTTCTAGTTTGAGAACAGTGTTGGTGAAGCCGATGTTTTCGGTTGTTGCTAAGTGATGTTTACCCTGACCAAGGACTCTGTGAGGCTCATGCTCTGCCAGGGAGTAGGGGAAGCTGTGAGGAATCAGAGACGGGGCGCCTGACCCGGGCTAGCCGGGGAGGTATTCCATACCACAGCACGTCATGCCCGGGGTGGGGGGTAACTGGGAGTTACCCGGAAGGACAGGGGCTTCCGGGTGGAACTCGCTTTCTTGGCCGGTGGTATCGTATTCTCTTCCCTTGGTATTTTCCCTTATCATTGTTTTAGCTGATAGTAGCGGTGGTGATTTGTTGCTGGACTGTTCTTGTCTCAACCCGTAGGAGTTGCACTCTCTCGATCCTCCTCCCCGTTCCTCCGGGAGCGGGGAAGGGGAGAGCCCCGGTGCGGGGGGGGGGGGGGGGGGGGGGGGGAGACGGACACGGACTTTGATTGTTGTCAGCTCGGCACCACTCACTGGAAGTGAGAGCGAACGAGTTACCTGACTGGGTTTAAACCACGACAGTTCTTTTTTGGCTCCCAACGTGGGGCACGAGGGGTTGAGATAAGAACAGATCTGACTGGATTGATAGTCACTCGTCACAATGCTGATTTATTGCCTCTCAAGGTTTTTCCTCTTGATCTCACAGTTTCAGTATATCATATCTTACGTAGAGCCGGTATTCGCTGTGTTAGTGTTTATTAAGTGTGGGGCTTGGGCTAAGGTTTTTATCCCATTGTACTTTATGGTAATGACTTGTAATACAATAGAATCATTGATCATGAAACTGATCTGGCTTATGTTCCCAGTGTGGTCACCACCTTTATACTTTGGGAGGTATATGACGGAGGTGCTTAGCAATTACACATCTTTTTTCTCCTTCTCAGGTGCTCAATCTGTGAAGGAGACATCCTTTTACCCTCCTAGTCGTCCCCCCAGACCATTTACATTTGAGAGTTTTGAATTTTTTGAATGGCCTTTTAATGCTGTTGAGACTTGTTTGCTGATGGTGATGGGAATCACCATGCTAACACGCATACAGAGTGTGTTTTGCCCACTACTGATTTCAAGAGTTAAGCAGATTCAGGTTTGGGTCTTGTCTGGGGTCAAACGACGATGTAGGAGGACCGAGAGATTTTCCCAGAGGCTGGACAGCCATGAGTGGCAGGGTGTGTGGGATAGTATGGGCAAGTATCTAGGTCAGTGGGCCCCTCCAGTATTTTGGAATTTCACTACCGAACAACTGCAAAATCCAGAAGAATTAGTAAAACACTTAAATGAGGTGTGTGGTCATTCTGGCCATACCAGAGATGGACAAATCACGGCAACGTGCTGGGGCTTGGCCTATGCTTACAGGGCCTTGTTCAACACTATCCAGCACCTTCAAAAGGAAAAGAATGTCGGCGGATTTGAGGGCAAAGTGACAGTCGCTACTCAAACTTTGGCTGCAATGAACTGCGCAGCTACCCCAGTGGCAAGTACAGCAGCTGCTCAAACTTCACCTGCAACAGACAGCGCGGTTACCCCAGCTCCAAGCACGGTAGCTACACCACCCCCAGCAACAAGTACAGTCGCTACTCAAACCACAGTGATAATCACTGCAGCCAAACCAGAGGACCAATTCGTACCAATATCAGTTGCCCCTGTACGCAAGAGAACAAGCAAAAAGGAGGCAAAAAGGGTGAAGCGAGATGAAGAACCAATGAATTCACCACCCGGTCCAGAATCTGATCAGGAGTCATCATCACATGACGAAGAAGAAGAAGAAGAGGTAACTTCTCGACCTCGGACCTCAACCGAGCTGCGGAATACGCGAAAAGATTTTACCCGTCAACCAGGGGAGCACATCATCACCTGGTTACTCCGATGCTGGGACAATGGGGCCGATGGTCACGAACTAGAAGGTACAGAAGCCAAGCAGCTGGGATCACTTGCTAGAGAAGGGGGAATTGACAAAGCAATTGCAAGAGAGAAAAAGTCCCTCAGCCTTTGGAGGAGGCTCTTGGCAGCTGTGAAAGAAAGGTTTCCGTACAAGGACAATGTTACGAGTCGTTCGGCCAAGTGGACTACTATAGACAAAGGCATCCAGTCTCTGAGGGAATCGGCCATCGTAGAGATGATCTATCACATCAAGCCGAATAACGGGGATACACCTATAGATCCAGATGAAGTTGAATGTACACGACCCATGTGGCGAAAACTTACACGGAATGCACCGTCATCATATGCCCATTCATTGGCAACAGTGACCTGGAATGACATAGTACCACTAACAGTGGATGAAATGGTTCATAAACTCCGAGAGTTCGAAGACAATCTCACTCCTTCCATCATCTCAGCTGTGAAAAAACTGTCCCAGGACCTTGACAAATTGAGGGACGATGTATCTGATTTATCCAGCTCCTCACGTGTACCAACACACGTCTCAGCTATTAACAAAAGACGTCCTATTGTTCGAGAGAGGAGATACAGAAGGTATACGCCACGGGGTACCCTATGGTTTTACCTGCTGGATCACGGAGAAGACATGACAAAGTGGGATGGAAAACCTACTTCAGCTTTGGAGGAACGGGTGAGTGAACTGAAGAGGGGAGCAAGGGCCAAGACTGATCGTCCCATGAGAGCTACGGCTTCAGTCTCTGGTGAGCAGTTTCCCAGATGGAGTGGAAGAGCTGATTTTACTCCAGCTCCTGTGATAATGAAGAATAATCCCTTTCAACACGACTTAAGTGTCCAATACTGTGACGACCATTAGAGGGGCCCTGCCTCCAGCCAGGTGGAGGTAGGGGACAATCGGATTTACTGGACTGTGTGGATCAGATGGCCTGGCACATCAGTCCCACAGAAGTATAAGGCTCTAGTAGATACCGGTGCACAGTGTACCCTGATGCCATCAAGCTGTCAAGGGGTGGAACCCATCTATATTTCTGGAGTAACAGGAGGATCCCAAGAGTTGACTGTGCTGGAGGCTGAAATCAGCCTGACTGGGAGGGAGTGGCAAAAGCACCCTATTGTGACTGGTCCAGAGGCTCCATGCATCCTCGGCATAGACTACCTCAAGAGAGGGTACTTCAAAGACCCAAAAGGGTACCGGTGGGCTTTTGGTATTGCTGCTTTGGAGACTGAGGAAATTGAGCAGCTGTCCACCTTGCCTGCTCTCTCAGAAGATCCCTCTGCTGTGGGGTTGCTGAAAGTTGAAGAACAACAAGTGCCAGTTGCGACCACAACAGTGCACCGGCGGCAATATCGCACCAACCGAGACTCCCTGATTCCCATCCATCAGCTGATCCGTAGACTGGAGAGTCAGGGGGTGATCAGCAGGACCAGCTCACCCTTCAATAGCCCCATATGGCCAGTGCGAAAGTCTAATGGAGAATGGAGACTAACAGTAGACTATTGTGGCCTGAATGAAGTCACACCACCATTGAGTGCTGCCGTACCGGACATGCTAGAACTTCAGTATGAACTAGAGTCAAAGGCAGCCAAGTGGTATGCCACGATTGATATTGCCAATGCATTTTTCTCCATTCCTTTGGCAGCAGAGTGCAGGCCACAGTTTGCTTTTACTTGGAGGGGTGTCCAGTTCACTTGGAACCGACTGCCCCAGGGGTGGAAACACAGCCCTACCATTTGCCATGGACTGATCCAGACTGCACTGGAACAGGGGCAAGCTCCAGAACACCTGCAATACATTGATGACATTATTGTGTGGGGCGATACAGCGGAAGAAGTCTTTGAGAAAGGGAGGAAAATAATCCAAATCCTGCTGAAAGCCGGTTTTGCCATAAAACGGAGTAAGGTCAAGGGACCTGCACAGGAGATTCAATTTTTGGGAATAAAATGGCAAGATGGACGTAGACAGATCCCCACAGATGTGATCAACAAGATAACAGCAATGTCTCCACCAACTAATAGGAAAGAAACGCAAGCTTTCTTGGGTGCAGTGGGGTTCTGGAGAATGCACATCCCGAATTACAGTTTGATTGTAAGCCCTCTCTATCATGTGACCCGGAAGAAGAATGATTTTAAATGGGGCCCTGAGCAGCAACAAGCCTTTGAGCAAATTAAACGCGAGATAGTTCATGCAGTAGCCCTTGGACCAGTCCGGACCGGGCCAGATGTAAAAAATGTGCTGTACACTGCAGCTGGGGAGAACGGTCCTACCTGGAGCCTCTGGCAGAAAGCTCCAGGGGAGACTCGAGGTCGACCCCTCGGCTTTTGGAGTCGGGGATACAAAGGATCTGAGGCCAGCTATACCCCA